CTCTTAAGAGTTAATAAGTATTTGTCTTGCTCTGAAATGGTCCATGTACCAAAGTCTACATTTGGATGATGATGGCAGTGTTGTGTGCCCTCTGTTCCCCTTTCCCATGAGTCTATTAATTTTATTATCAGATATCAAGGGCTCTGTGACTTGATCTCAAGGCACTTACAGACTAAGTATTTCCCTGAAGAGCTTTAAAGGAAGTTGATTTCCTTTTGCAAGCTCAGCACAGGAGTAAATCTCTGTCTTACACGTTTGTGTAAAAAAGTAGATCAAACAAAGACTAAACAAAAGACTAAACAAAGACTAGATCACAGTTAAACAGCCAAGACTGCACAGCAGAGGGAACAATGGTAAGAAGTGATATACAAAGGAGCCCCCTGGATTTGTAGCATTCCTAAGACTTTAAAAGCACTTTCACTCACCTCAGTTGATCCCTTTCCACACAGGCCTATGAGATAAGCTGGGCAGGTGCCTCTAGTTGAAGGATGGGGGAATCAGATAAGCTGAGAGATGCAAAGGCTCCCCACCTTTTCAGTGTCAGAGCTGGGGCTAGAAGCCAAGTTGCAACTTTCTTTTCTCAGTAGTTCAGATTGAACCTAGGGCTTTCCCACTGAGCTCCATCCCTAGCTTGCTAGCCTGCCTTTCTCCTCTCTCTCTCTCTCTCTCTCTCTCTCTCTCTCTCTCTCTCTCTCCTTTCTTTTTTATTTTAAGAAAGGGTGCCACCAAGTTGCTAAATTTCCCAGGCTGGGCTAAAACTTGCAATCCTCCTGCTTCAGCCTCTTAGAGTGCAGGGATTACAAGCATGTACTACCATGCCCACCTCAAATTGCAATTTGAAGTTCAGCTGCCTACACATAAAACTGTCTTGCATGGATGTATGCATAAAACATCTAGTTTAAAATCAGATTGTCTTACAAAAAGTTTCTCAATGTATTGGTTTAATTAAACTACGAATATGTAACAACATTTAAGTATTTTAAAAATCTCCTTAGGTGTAAATCTCTGCTCCCACAATGGGGCGAAGTTGGGCAAGAAGTCATCTCATCCTCAAAGCACTCACACATAAGTCAAGAGCTCAGATAATTCCAGTGCAAAACTGATGACACGAGCTAAAGGGCAGAACCACTGGTCCAAGGTAGGATTAGAATTGGACAAAACTTTAGACTGTGCTGTGGTTGAATTATTTACAAGTTCAGAGAGAAATGCCCAGAAGTTTTGTTCTTGTTATTTTAAATGAACCTTAACTGAGCAGGCCTCGATGCTGAATACAGAAGCAACTGTTCATATCTGACTGTTCTTTCTGGCTGACCCAGAAGGAGGTCTCTCTGGTCCTCTCTCTGCTTTTTGTTTTTGTTTTGTTTTGTTTTGTGACAGGGTCTCGCTATGTAATTTAGGTGGCCTTTGAACCCACTATGTAGCCCACGCTGACCTTGAATTTACAGTGATCCTCCTGCCTCAGCTTCCCAAAGGCTGGGATTACAGGTGTTCACCACTATGCCTGGATCTCTCTGCTTTTTGAGTTAGTTTGGCTGTTGACTCCTGTGGCATCTTCCTCCCTCAACATCCCCCTAGTTTGTGATATTTTCTTATTCCTGTCCCTCACTAACTAAAATTCTGGTCTTTCTGAAGGGTGCTAATGTGCCAGGTTGGTAAAACAAAATGTAACCTTTCTCTCCCCACCGTTGTTTTTTGATCAGCGGCTCTCAAAGTGCAGTCCCCAGGCTAGCAATTTAATTTTTATCTGGGAATATGCAAGAAATATACATCCTCTTGTCCTATCCCCTGAATCAGAATAAGGTTCTACTTACTGAATCAGAAATTCTGGAGTTAGAGCCCAGAAATCTGTATTTAATAAGTCAGGTGATTGTAATTTTCACTGGCTTAGAGAATAGGAACTTATGCAGCTGGACCCCAGGCTGCCTGCTCCTTGCAGCTGGTCCTGCCGCTTCCTTACCTCCCTGTACCACTAGAGTCTATCCCGCCTGTGTCACTTTTCTTCCCTTTATGTATGTTTGTCTATGTTGCTTTTAAGGCCAAACCTGCCTGGGACCTGGAGCTCTCAAGGAAAAGCCTAGTGCCTACCCCTGCTCCCAGAACATTCCACACACACACACACACACAAACACACACAGGGCTTTCTGGTCCTTTGATGTCACCTGATCTCAAATGCACGCTGTGCTTTCCTGTAACTGGGGGTCACTGTCTGCTTCCCAATTCTATTTATGTCCTACTGCATGTCTACTGGGTGTGAGGGGTCTTGCTCTGTCCCTCCCCTGACTTGTCCTCTTTCCCCAAGGGAAGTGTTTGCCATTCTCCTGCCCATCTTCCTGCCTTGTGTCTTCTTGATCCTCCTGGAGGCCCATCAGAATCCTACCTGACCACCATGCACTCGAGCAGCTTCTCCAATGCCAGCCCTGTCTTGCCCGGCTTACCCTGTATTAGTGTTCTAGTCTGTCTCCTACTTCTACCAAAGTTCAGGCATCTATGCACTCCTTCCTCTTAACCTGAAGGGTCACCTTTTTCCATTGTTTTGTAAATTTATGCCTGTATTTCATTGACAAAACATCTTCTTCTCCCCCTTTCGGCCCACTCTAGCAAGCCACTGATAATTGTGTGTGAGCGATCAGCAGTGGTTCATCTGCCTAAGCCTTCTTTGTAATCTCCATCATGTCAAATACAGTCCCAGGAGGGCTAGGACACTTAGGAAATGATCCTACTGGGGGAGATTTCCTTTCAGGGTACCTATTCTAGGCAAAAACACTATTGTGAGTGCTTTGGATATAATAATTTAATGTTATATAATGACATTCATTAACAAATCTTACTAACACAGAGTTGTTTGTTTTATTGTACCTTAGATTGATCCCAGGGGCACTGAGTTGGAGCCCCCATTGTGTAGTACAGGCTGGCCCTTTTAAATTTTATTTTGAGGCATGTTCTCGCTAAGTTGCTCAGGCTGGCCTCACACTTGCAATCCTCCTTCATCAGTGTCCTACTGGCCAGGATTATAGGCACGCACCACTGTGCTCAGCTAATACAGATTTTAAGGGGTGCCACTTGCCTGTTTTCTTTACCATGTGCACAGAATTGTGAATAATAGGGTTCACCAGGTCTAAACAGCTACACAAAGCCCTCGTGGCTGGTCTTTCAGGCTTGGCATCAAAGGGACTGAGCTCATACTCTGAAGACTGTATATTTGTGAAGAGATAGATTTTCATATAACTATGTACAAAGCAACCGTGAGTTCTGACACCATCCTCCAGCTCTTTCCACAAGGAATTGTGGATACGCCAAGACTATGTTCTCCTGGGTCTAGCCAGTGCACCTCACACTCAGTATATCTTGCCCTAGTGCTTTACTGAGATGCTGATTTCATGCTTCAGCTTGAGCCCTCAGTAGTAAACGTCCCACCAAAATGTGAGCAAACTTCCCGCTAGACTCAGCCTGTGTGATAGCCCATTTTAGCTGTCAACTTGGATGGGTTAAGGGAAAACTAGATAACTGGTAAAGCATTGCTCTAAGTGTGTCTGTGAGAGTGTTTCCAGAGGAGACAGGTCTGTGGGTGGGAAGACTACGTGGGGAAGACCTGCCCTCAATGTGGGCACCATCCAGTTGGCTGGGAGTTCTGATAGAATAACAAAGGCAGAAGAGAGGCAAATTCACTCACTCTCTTGGGGCTGGAATACCCTCTTCTTCCACTTTTGGACCTCACACCCACAAATTCTCTGGCATTTGGACCTTGGGACCTGCACCAACAGTCCCCTACTTCTCAGGACTCAACCTTAGACTGAGAGTTACACCATTAATTTCTATGCTTCTGAGGCCTGTAGACTTGGACAGAGCCACAGTACCAAATTCCATGGCCCTCAGTGTGTGAAAAGTCTATTGCAGAGCTTCTCAGCCTCCATAATCTCATAGACCATTCCCTTAACCATTCCTCTCTCATATCTATCTACCTATCCACTGATTCTGTCTTTCTGGGGAACTCTGACCATATAGCCTTTATCTAGTGGCTTCTATAAAATCTGCTGTCATCATACCTTCCAGGAGATGCTGGCTGTGTTCTTGTTTGTCTGCTTCCTCTGTGCAGGACCAGTCATTCTTTGCATATGGTGGCAAAAAATGAGTATTTTAAATCTCTCTTGGAAGAGGAATAATATCCTAGAAAGGGATCCAAAAGTGACTCCCCATTACTCAGTACCTTGACACTTTCTGTGAAATACCACTAAACATTCCAGGGAGCAATAGGGCAATATTGTTTAATTACTACTGGCCCTTATTATAAAGATTGTCTTGGATTCCTCACAAAGAGATATCATTGACTATATTACTTAGACAAAGAATCTACGACTAAAGATGTCATGTGATTTATCCAAGGTGAACCAGTTTATGCCAGGCAGAGCACAGTCCAAATCCACACTCCTTCCCTTCTTCTGCTTGCTCAAAGGCTTGGTTAAGGGAAATGTCACTTTGCCCTTCCACCTGCGAAACTCATCCTTTATTGCTACTCTTTGATAACCAGTCCCACCTAGATAATTTTCATCTCGCCCATATAAGCCTCATGTCCTACTTTGGTGGTAACCTTAGAGCTGACTTACTCATCAGAAGAGCCAGGGTACCTACCATAGATGTTAAGTGTGTAGAAAGTGTAACCACATTATGTAGGTTCTAATCTAGGCTTTACTACTTACTAGCAGTTTGGCCAAGCAATGTACCCTTGGGCAAGCTTATTGCCTTCTCTGTACTTTGGTTTCTATGTTTATAAAATAACAATAGTAATAAAACCTCAGTGTCTTGATGCTAATTCCCATTAACCTTGAAGGGTTATGAAGCGTAAGTGCCCTAATTTAGGTAAAACACTTAGAAGGGTGTCTGTACCACATAGAAAACATGTGTTTGTTACTATTTTTATTCATCACTTCTCACCCTTGCCTTCACACTCTCTGTCCTCTTCTGTTGTAGACTACTCCGTTTCCCTCCTCTGCTTTTTCATTTACCTCCTCAGCCCAAAGTGCCTTCAGCTCAATTACTCTCAGAAGGACCTGATTCTGATCCTCTTCATTAATCCTGAATCCAGAAATTAACTCCTTTATCTTGCCTATTTCTTTCTGCATCAAAATACTCTTTGCTACATGACAGTCAGCTGGCATGGACCGTAGATGACCTGGGAAGACAGAACCTCAATTCAAGCCTGAGCTCTGCCACTTATAGCTGCTGGATTTTGGTAGATATTTAACTCCTGAGCCATTCTAAAAATTACTCATCCTAAAATTTTCCTAAAAATTGAAATAATTCTCCTTGCGTATAATCTACACCATAATCATGAAGATTAAAAAAGAAGACGAATGTAAAGATGTTCTGAAGTATATATTGTTACTATTATGGCTTGTATCTAGATGTCCCGCCAAAGCCTCATGCAGTCATAGGTGAGGAGATTTGAAGGTGGATGGATTAGAGTATGTGAATATGGATTAACAGTGTGCTACTGGGATTAAGGGTATGATACTAGGGTTAAGGGTGTGAGTGGCACCAATCAACAGGTGTACAGTCTGAATGGAGACGGAGAATACAAACGGAGAGAGGGAAGATGGGCTTGCTGCCACTGATGCTTGCTGCTGCTTCTGGCTGCCTTCTGCCTATCACCTCATGGACTATTTCTCCTCTGTGTTGCCATCTGCCATGCCACTCTGCCCTGGAGCCAACTGACTTTGGACTGAAACCTGTACTGTGAACCAAAATAAATCTTTCCTTCTTTAACTTTGGGTGTTGGGTCATTTTGTTACAGCAGTGAGAGAAGTAACTAAAACAAATTTTGATACCAGAGAAGTGGGGCTATTGTTATGATGCTACCTGGCCACATGGTTCAGAAGCCTTTGGAACTAGCTTGTGGAAAGATTTTGGGAAGGTTTGGAGATGATAGCTGAAGAAGCACTCCTGGAATGCTATAAACTGAAATTGATGGGAGGGTCTAGTCAGAGCTCAGAAGACCAGAATTTTGGTAGAAATGCAGCTGGTAAAGACCAGGTTCAGGTGGGTTCAGTTAGGAACAAGGACTGCATTGGTAGCTGGACTCCAGATCACGTGTGTTATGCTTTGGCAGAAAATTTGTATACATTTTGCTCTTGTCCAGAGACTGCCTAAAACTGAGATTAAGGGTGACAGACTAATCTTGCAGAAGAAATTTCAAGACAGTCTAATGTTGAGGCCATGGCATGGCTACTGTTGGGAGCTTTTAGTCAGCTGTACCTTGAAAATCATGAGCAAAGAGCCCAGCAGAATGATTTAAAATGGTTTGAGCTTGACCAGAAAGGAAGCTCCAGTAGCAAAGAAGGGGCAGAGGAGAATCTGGTTGCTGAGAAAGAAGAGAAGTTGAAAAGATGGCCTGAGGACATAACAAGAACCAGCAGAAGTCCAAGTTTCACATCCTCAAAATTGCAAAAATGAAAGACTTTGCTTTGAAGAGAGAACTCCAAAGCACCACATTCCCGAATGGCAGAGGCCTGGGAAGTAGCTAATCAGGATTTGGCTCATAGGGCTCAGCAATACAGGGACTCAACCCTACAGCCAAGAGAGAAAGAAGCCTGGTCACTGCTCTAGTTGGGGCAGACCTTGGCATCATCCACATGGTGCTGGTTTTAGGTGCATGCAGAATGCAAAAGTTGTGGTGTCAGAAAGGCATTCATCCAGATTTCAGAAGAAGGCCTGGGAGACCAGGCAGTGTGCCCCTGAGAGGGCAGTGTGTGAAGCTGTGAGTGTGACACTGAAGGGTCTGTGGATGCCCCAGAAGTTTGAAGAAGCCAGGAGTGTGGATCATCTGAGGAAAGCTACAAGGAGTGAGCAAAGATAGCTCAAGAGAGAAACCATGAGAGTTGAAACCACCCAGAGTGCCATAGGGGCAGAACCACCCAAACCCTTTGGATTCACATCCTGTCACAGTCTGTCTCAGATGATGGACAGGGAACTACAGGACTTACTGTTGGCCCTCCTTGGACCCCATTCTTTTCTATTCACTTATTTGTACCCTTTGGAATGGAAATGTTTATCTTGTGCCATTGCATGTTGGAAGTGTTTAACTTTTTTTTTTTTCCATTTTTATAAGGGGCTTGAAACTAGGAGTTTGCCTTAAATCTCAGAGGAGACTTTGGACTTGGACTTTTCAGCTGTGCTGAAACTGTTAGGCCTTTGGCAACTCCTAGAGATGGACTAAATGCCTTTTGCATAAAGGGACACACATGAATCTTTGGAGGGCCAGAGGTAGAATGTTATGGGTAGTATCTAAATGCTCCCTAAAAGCCTCATGCAGTCATAGGTGGGGAAATTTGCAGGTGGCTGGATTAGGGTATGTGAATGTGGATTAAGAGTGTGATACTGGTATTAAAAGTATGATGCTGGGGTTAAGGGTGTGGATAATGAAAGCCCTGTTCTGGGTGTGAGTGGCACCAATCAACAGGCTTTCAGCCTGGATGGAATGCGCTGCTTCTGCTGCTGCTGCTTGCTGCTTTTGCTGCCTTCTGCCTTCCCTGCCATGAACTGTTGTTTTTCCTCTTTTATGACCCTCTGCCATGCCACCCTGCCTTGGAGCCAGCTGATTATAGAACTGAAACCTCTACAAACTGTGAGCTGAAATAAACCTTTCCTCCTTCAACTTGTAGGTGTCAGGTATTTTGTCTCAGCAACAAGAAAAATAACTTAGATAATTACTTTGTAACTATTATCTGAGAAAATTCACTGGAGTTGGCAAAGTTCACGGTCAGCCCCTACCTCCCAAGTGCCTTTTTCTTTTTTGGGCAGCTACCCCTCTTGAGTATATCCTAGTGAAACTACCTCTCCACTAAGAGACGCAAGTACCCAATTAGCACTCGCAGGAATAAGGGACTCCACCAGTCGAGGGTCTGGGCACTGGCATCAGAAACCAATTTTGGTTAATTTAAGCAGAAAGCATTTACTGAGACTCAGAGAAGTCACAAGAGGTTGGAGGGTCCAGCCTGGAAAACGAATTGTAGAAACTGACACAAAGAAGGCAGAGTCTGTTTGCTGCTGTTGTGATGAAAAACCAGTCTTTGCATCTGGAAACTACTCATGCAAAGTACAGGGTCCTAGGAGAAGGCAGCCCCCAGAGTGTGCTTAGGTCAGGAATCCAGCTCCCAACTCTGCTAGGGTGGGGAGAGCAAGGGCCTGGTCTCAATGTGGGATTTTGGCCTCAAGACACCAGACACAAGATGTGGGGATAAGATCTCCTCAACACTAGTGAGGAAACATCCAGGTCAAAATATGATATATGCCCACTGGAGAGAGTGAGCATTCTCCAAAGAGTTTATATTTTAAGGACCTTATAGCTAAGTTTCAAGAAGGAATAAAAGAGAATTTGGCAACAGAAATCTTCATAGGGCTCCCAAATCAAGCATTGCACCCAGCTGGCTCCTAGCCCACTGGTAAAGCCATCTCAACCTCATAAGTCACCACAAGGTCCTTCCAACCCTTTGATGGCTGGGCCTTGGGGTCTAGGTTTGAAACATGGGCAGTTTTGCCTTGCAGTGTCCCTTCAGGGCCACACCTAATGGCTTGCTCAGCCTCTCTGCTCCAGGACAGTTCATTCTTGCAGATCAATTTGACCAACAGTTAATCTAGGCCTCCTGAATAATATACAGCCCCTCTCCAAGAAAGAATCTGTTCCTTGAAGGCTCTGAGAAAATACCAGGAGAGAGTCTGAGGACCAAGTCTACCTCTGCTTCCACTACTTGCATCGTGTGTGTCAATGCTGCTTCTCCTCTGGCCTCTTCTATTAGAAATCTACTACAGTTTCTTATTTCTGACCTGGTGTTTGAGAGGCAGAAAGGAAATCAGAACCCTGTATTAAATTTTCTACCACACTGGCATCCTTGAAGGAGTGAATCAGTTTCCATTTCCTGAATTCCCAGCTGACATTTGAAATCTGCTTTTATTGCACTTTCCTTGGAGGTGAGGTGCCATTCTTGTTTCCTGGGAGGGCTGCAAGGCTGTGAGTTACTCTCAGGGAAATATTTCCCTTTGTTTTTATCTCCTGACTTCATAGAGCCAGTGACTGCCTTAGGGCAAGTTGGAAATGGGCTCGGGGATCCATAGGCCTTGAGCAGGGTTGATTCTCCACCTCTGCTTCTGGCTGCTGGAGATTTTTTTCTCCCTTGCTCTTTATTTACTGTCACAGGTATTTTCTAATTAAGTTTTGTCCACAGAGCTAAACCATGGCCACCTGAGTTTCCCAGAAAAGATGGCTTTTTCCTTTTAACACTTGTTTCTTTTTTTTTTTTTTTTTTATTGGACATAAGGTCTCTATCTGCACAAAGGTGTTATCCCTAACCCCTGGCTTTTTTTTTTTTTTTTTTTTGGTACAGGGGATCAAACTCGGGACCTTGTGCTCTCAAGGCAGGCACCAGAACCACTGAGCTAAATCCCCGGCCCCAGATGGCTTTTTCCTTGAGAATGCATCTCTCGAAGACATCTCAGTTTGGAGATGCAATTTGATTTTTTGATAGCATTTTCCTGGTGATTTTAGGATTGAGTTATGCTACTGACTGAACAACCAAAGAATCATCACATTTGTTCACTGTTACATAGAAAGCACAGAATGCCATCAAATGACATGATTTCTCAGCCTTGTTACTCAGACCTGCTGGGGGCCAGTTGAAGAGGGACCAAAATGAGAAGGGTGGATTTGAAAACTTCAGTGTGGGCTGTAAATGGTGGCACATGCCTCTATTCCCAAATTTTGGTAGGCTGAAGCAGGAGGATTGCAGGTTCAAGTTCAAGCTGGGCAATTTAGTGACTTAGTGAGACCCTGTCTCAAAATAAACAACAACAACAAAGGGCTAAATGTAGCTCACTGCAAACACAGTACTGGGGGAAAAAGCGTTTGGCAATCTCTTCAGTAGACAAGAGAGGTGTAACAATCTGGTCATTGTTTAGGGGCCAGTAAGGGAGGCAGCCAGGACAGGGAGGAGGAGGTGGAGTGTGGGAAGCTGATCATCACGGCTTCCTGCTCTGACAGTGGAAATAGGGTGCAGAGTTCCCACAAAAACGATTGAACAAAAGCCTTAACACTAGATGTATTGGCTCTAATAATCTCAACAAAGTGTCTCATTCAGCTCCCACATAATTGGATTGCTAAATTTGGGGGGAAAAAAATGAAAGGTATGAAATCATCATGGATCATTGCAACTGCAGTGTATTTTCAAATCGTTCTCATCATTCTTCGTTCCTGAAACTAATTATTGTTCCTGTTCTTTTTCCCTTCTTAGTTAAATTTGTGTCATGATCATTTAATTCACTGCCATAGTCCAGTGTTATTGGCCTCAGCTCAGCAAATTTATTTAGAATACCAATTTTGTCTCTAAAAAATAGAATACCAATTTTATCTCTCTGTAATAACAGAAAGAATATGACTTTTTAGTAACTGAGACACAATATTAGCAAACAAAGAATTTTTGTTTTCCCTGTTTGATCGGGGAACTCACAGACAATTGACCTGAGGGCACCAACTAGAACCAGTGATTTTCTGTTGGGTCCTACATGCAGCATCTTACAGGCTCTCTGTTGTGGTTCTCCTAGCAGTAGCATCACTAGGCACTGGTCAGAAATGAAATGAAATTTTAAGTCCTACCCAGACTGCTTGCAACAGAAATCTGTGGGTGAGACACAGCCACCCATGTTTTAATAAGTCCTGAGGCCAACTCTGATGCAACCTAGAGTCAGAAACCCACTTCTTTCAAAGATCTTCCAAGAATCCTTTGCTGCTTTATGTTGTTTTGGGAAAGAGGAAAACCCTGATTGCTGTCATCAAGAGGGGTGTGGCAAGGAAATTAACTCTATAATTTCATTGTTAAAAGATTTACAGGACCTTTTTGTTGTTGTTTTTAATTTATTTATTTTTATTTTTCCTGTGCTAGGAATGAAACCCAGGGGCTTGCACATGGTAAGAAAGTGCTTTTCCACTGAGCTACAGTCTCAGGCCAACAAGTTGAATTTTTTAATATCATGAGGGAAGGTACATACATGATGGTGGTGTGTCCAAAAGAGCCCTTCAAGTCGTCCATTCAACTTGGTCACCAGTCAACTGCTGAATCTTGAGCAAGTCACATCTTGCTTTGCTTATCAGTTTTCTCATCTATAAAAAAAATCAAGAAATTGGACAGGTGCAGTGGTGCTCACCTAAGCAGAGAAGGCTGAGACAGGAAGATCACAAGTTAGAGCCCAGCCTGAGCAACTTAGTGAGATCATGGCTCAAAATAAGAGAATAAAAAAACCTGGGGGTGTAGTTCAGTGGTAGAGTGCTTGCCTATCATGGTGCAGGACCTTAGGTTCAATCTGCAATAATGCTTTTTAAAAAAATAGGAAACTGGAATGGAATTGTTAGAATTTCTTATTCTAATAACCTTTGACTCTTTAAATGCTGGTTTTCCAAATTGGGCAAATAAAAATATGCACCATTTTATTGTATTGTATTGTATTGTATTTTTTTGGTACTGGAAATCAAACTCAGGACCCAGCGCTTTTGAGGCAGGCAGAACCACTGAGCTAAATCCCTGGCACACCATTTAAAATATATACATATATATATATATGATATATTATAATATATTATATATATTTAAATTTCAATTTTCATATTGAATTTCAAGTAAACCACAAAAAATGTTAGTGTATATACCTGTATAAATAAGTGTACATAGGATATACTAAAAATTATTATCTGACATTTAAATTTTGTTGACATGTTTTATATTTGTTAAACTGAGCATCTGTTTTTGAATGCCAGTTTTAATCAATCCAATCTGTGAGAATGCAAAGGGCCCTGCTGTACCAGGGAGGGACAGCAGAGGGAATCTTGAGTTGGGGGGCCAGGGTAAAGGAAACAGGAGTCTGGTTCTGAACCAATCTTAGGAAGTCCCTTCCCCTCCCCTCTCTGGGACCCACTTTTTTCATCTGTACAATGAAGGTCATTGGACTAAACTATCTCAAAGACTCTGTTCAGCTCCAAATGTCTGTTAGTATTATTTTTGGCTTTTTCACTCTCTTTGGATCTGTGAAAGGCATTTATTTCCTGTCCTTTTCTCTCTTTTTTTACTCGTGGGAAAAATGGATTGATGGTATGAAATTTTAAAAATAAATATTATTGAACTGTCAACTGAACTCCTTGAAAATAACCTTGACATTGAAAATGACTGACAGAATGATGGACCCTAACTTTGGTCTGATAGTGTCTGCCCTTTAAAGGCTCACAACTTAGTTATGACAGCTACAACAGGTCAGTTGTTTCCTTTGGGTACCTTCCTCCTGTGAGTACCATGCGGAGAGGAAGAAGCTCTGGGGTAGGGCACTGTTTGTTAACATCTGGGTCCCATAGGCAATGAACAATCACACGTCTGACAAGGGATTTAAAGCTATTCATATTTTTTGCCAGGTGTTATAATGAACATTTATTATTTTATAAAACAAGTGATTCTTCTAAAAAAAAAAAACCCTTACAATTATTCTCAAATGTTCACTTTTCCCAAATATACATTGTTAGAGTGACTGAAATGCAATCTGTCCCTTGCTCTCTGACTGACTTGCTTTGTGCAACAATTGGGTCCATGACTAATAATTGAGCTGATGGTACTTGGAGAATACAAAAGAATAAAGAAATGTAAACTAGGTGTGGTTGCAAATTCCTGTAATCCCAGCACTCTGGGAGGCTGAGGATTGCAAGATTAAACCCAGCCCAGGCAATTCAGTGACTTAGCAAGACTTCTTCTCAAAAAATACAAAGCAAAAAGTTGGGAGGATGAAACCTAGTTCAAAAGCCTTGGGTTTAATCTGTATTCTCTCTCTCTCTCTCTCTCTCTCTCTCTCTCTCTCTCTCTCTCTCTCACACACACACACACACACACACGAAGAAAAAGGAATAAAGTAGGCACACTTGTTCTTGTTAAGAATGGAAAAAAGAGGAGAAAAAAGGTAAGCACGAGGAAAGAATATATCTAAGAGAAAAATGGAGAAGGAACAGAGTGGGACTGTGTTCTCATTAAGTGTGTGACTGTAACTGACCTGTTGTAGCTGTCAGGACCCAGAGACTGGGAAACCAGGGTCAAGGAAGTCAGTTTCCAGGAATCGCTAGGTTTGTTGGGAGGAGCTTGCTCTTAAATTGCTTTGGATTCTAGTGTGTCACAATAGTGACTCTACCCTGTCATAAAAAGCTCAGCTCCTATTATTTAAGTCTGATAAACATTTGCATGGGTTTAGTCCTGGATGTTCTTCAACTTTATTTCCTCGAAGAAGAAAGAGAATTCAAGAGTGACCACAGAAGAGAAAAGTAATCAAGATGTTGGAACCAGCAGGAGAGCTGGAAGACACCACTGGGTGTCACTTCTCCTCAGGTATCTCACTGAGTTTGGCCCTCTTTGGTGATCTGCTTTTTGGCTTGCAGAAGTGCTTTCTGAACCATCAAGAGCCTCAGGGTAGTAACTGCTGAAGTAAGTTTGGCTCAAGTTCTCTGTGCAGTTTGTACATTGGAGAGAAACTGGAAGTTAGTTGGGTTTTTGGCCAGCTTTGATGCTTGAAGGAAAATTAACTAAAAGGAAGGTTTAAAGGGGCTCCCAATTTTGTATTTTTTTAGACCATTTCCAGATCACCCACTGAGAAATAAAGAACATTCTGGGTTCAGTAACTCTTTTCTCAGGTACATTGCTAAGTGAAATAGTTCTGAAAAAGACAAATAGGTCTATTTGTCTAAGTATCATCAGCCAATTATTAACTTTTTAAAATGTATTCTAAAAAACACTGTTGATATGCTATCTCTTTCAATCTTTTCAACAGTCATAGGAGGAAGGAAGTACAGGTTTGTTATCCTGTTTGAGAGGGGAAGTGCTGGGGATTGAACCTAGGGCCCTCTCATGCTAGGCAAGTGCTCTACTGCTGAGCACCTATTTTTCAGATAAGGAGACTGAAGGTTCAAGGTCACCCTGTGAGTTAAGGGACAAAGCCACAACTGAAAGGTGGGGCTTCCTGGGGCCCTCTTGCATCATCTAAGATGACCAAAATTCAGGGTGCACTTAATTCCCTTGATGTCAGAAGTAAGGATCAGAAGCACTGAATTTGGTTAATATTTGTTTTAAACACTGCCTTGTTCAAGAAATGAGTCATACTAGAAATGAGTCACAGAAGTTCAACTGAAAAGCCAATTCGAATTGAACCACTTTCATATGAAGAGAGACTGAGCTGATTATAACTATTTGGACTCAAAGAGGACAGTATGAAGGGAACTAATGAAGGGAACTTAGCTTTTGTTTCAACAGTAGAAACCACATCATAGCTGGGTGTAGAGATGTTCACCTGTAGTGCAGCTGAGGCAGGAGGATCACTTGAGCTCAGGAATTCAAGACCCACCTGGGCAAGAAAGAGAGAGCCCTGTCTGGAAAAATAAGGAAAAGTAATTAGACATCACCTTCTTGAAGGCTGGGAAATGTTTAAAAACAAATGCAAATAGCAGGTTCTTACAATTCATTATCAACCGGGTAACTCTGCTGGACAGGATTGGCACAAACTCCCTCTCCACAGCTTGTAGAAAGCCTAAACTCTGACCCCTAATTTCTGCACATGACCAAAGGCTTATATGCTTACAGTCACCTTGGCTCTAATATCTTTTTTCTGATGGATGACTTTAGTTTATGAACTTTACACTATTCCTCAGAGTCTCCTTCTAGAGTTGGTTTCTAGGTTCTTTCTGTCCTGAACAAAGAACTGGTTAAGAAAAGCACAAAAGATACATTTATTAAAGGTATGCAGGGCGGGGGATTTACCTCAGTGGTTCCAACGCCTGCCTCCCAAGCACAAGGTCCTGAGCTGGATCCCTGGTACCAAAAAAAAAAAAAAGGTTTGCCAAAAAAAAAGAAAACGCTCTGCAGAGTGAGTGTGGGCCAAAAAGTAGGAAAAGAAGCCCACTCTACAGAGTGAAACCCTGTGAAAGAGCACAGTGGCCTAAAGCTCAGTGGCGGCCATCTTTTTGTATCTTCTGCTCCTCAGGTTGATGTCAGGCCTACATCATCCTATCAAAAACCCGCTTGAGTTCTGGCAAGAACAGTTGAAGATAGCACTCTCTGACTGGTTCCACCTGCAGGGGTTGGGATCTGTTCTGGGGAGTGTCCTGAACTTTATAATTAACAGATCATGCCCACTTCCCCAGACAGTTTGCCACACCCTAATATCCTGCCTCATTTATTTGATTACCTATCTTGATAGGCATAGCCTATTTCTTTGATCTCCTTTGCCCTTTTACCAAGAAAGCAATAAGAAATAAACCAAACTTGATAGTAAAGGCCTTTTTTTGTTATAGCAAGCTTGGAGGAAACTAAAAATATTCATATTGCAGAAACACAGTTTTAAATTGTACATTAGCCCTCCCTCTTCATAAAGGTTTTTTGGTCACTGTGCCACTCACCGGCCAGACTCTCTCCTCTATAGAGATATAGATATATGGATATAGATATATAGAGATATATAGATACAGATATAGGTATAGATATTTGGCATCAACTACCTGGCTCCCTCTTGGCCCTCCAGCTCCCTTTTCTTGCCCTTCTTTACTCTCACTAGACTGTCTCCAGAAACTCTAAATTCTTCTCGTTATTTATTAAGACCTGCAGCTCTCTTCAGCTTCTACTCCTTAACCCAGCATCAGCCCATATCACATGAGTGCCCAGTTAAAAAGCAATATGACCATACCAGCACAGAAGGAAGTGACTGGGAGGTTTCTATTTTCTTGAGGCAAATTGTCCTCAAGATGTAATGAACCCCCCTAACCTATTAGGGACTAATCAGAAGTTAACTGGATTAATTGTATGGTCACAGAGTATGTGCAAAATGAGTCTAAAAGAGTGAAAAAAATTAGATTTCATATCTATTTATCACATGAATTACTTAATGGTCATTTGAAAATTTCAGTTAATTTAATTTTTCTTTATAGCTGGGTTATAAAAGTGTGCACATATTAACTAGAAAAAAGGAAGAAATTATTTAAACAAAGAATGCCAAAAATAAACTGTCATCTACAAACATTAAACCAAAGAAACTTAAATTTCTAGCTTGAAAATTTGAGAGTTTTTAAAATTTTCTGTTTCACAGTCCAAGAATTTATTTGCAATATTTGAGACATTAAGTAAATATGTTAAATGGAGAGGCACAGCCCTTACCTAATCCCATCTGCTTCTCCCTGTTAAGGTACACACTAAACAAAATCATATTATGTTGTCAATTACAATATCTTTGATTAACTTTGTCAGAAAAACTAGAATTTTTTCTGTGCTTACAATCATTACAATTATAGCTGACATATTTGAGTACTTCCTAGAAACAATGATGCATGCTTTACATATGCTTTTTTATAAACGAAAACTTCAAATATACACAAAAATAGAACCCCTCAACTCTATCCCCTGTACAAAAAAATTTGTTTTCTGTTATTCCTTTTTCATGCATTCCACACATTTCTAATGAATTATTTTAAAGAATATCTCAGACATCATATTTCATCTATAAATACTTCCATGTGTATTTGTAAGAGATGAGAACTTTAAAAATATGCAACCACAAAACTATGCCACAAAATGTACAATAATTCCCCAACATCAGTCCATATTCAAGTCTTTCTGATTGTCCAAAAATGTCTGTCATAGTTGTTATGTCCAATTCAAGATCCAAACAAGATCTATAAATTGCATTTTGCGGTTACACGTCTCATTTGATGCATAGCTATTCCTTGTGCATATCTGGGGAGAGACAAGAATATTTCATGGAAAGTGTTCTGTATTCCCTAGTACACCATATAAGGGTGTACTTCATTGTATGTGCTATTTCTTTTTTATACCGTGGGTGATTTTTACAATTTAGAATTTATCTCTTTAAGGCCTTGGCTAATTGTATTTTGTGGTGCTGTTAAACATGTACCACTACCCCCTGTATTTTTCTGGTGGATCTTAAACTTTATCTGATTTAGCCTAAATCTGGGGGAGAGGCAAGACTATTTCATGGAAAGTGTTCTGTATTTCCTTGTATACCATGTAAGGCTGCACTTAATGAGTGGCTGTCCCACCTATTGATGCCAACATTGTGAGTTCATATGAAGCTGATCTTATCCATTTTGTGATTCCCTAACTGCTTTCATCTAGATGCTTTTAGCAATCACTGATTAGCAATGTCTATGTATGTATGTGTGTGTATTATACCTTAAATTTGTGATTTTCTAATTCTTTTATTGTTTCTACAATAATTAGCTATGATTCATTTATGTAGGGGAATTTTCCTCATAAATTCCTTGGATGCCCTAAAAAGCCGAACAAATCCTAAAAGGCAGAATAAATGCTTGATTCTATCTTCTTATATTTATCAACTTTCAATACAAGGAATTGGTACCCTAGCAATCTCCCAAAATGATCAATGATGTTTTTATTTTTATTGTTGTTACAAACTTCTGAAACTTTACATTGTGTGTGTGTTTGAATCCAATGCACATATTTTTCTTATTGATCTCCAAATGCCCCAACTTTGGCCAGGGATAGCCTTTGAATTGGTTCTTGTATTATTTTGACATGACCCTAGACATCTTAGAGTAGATTTATTTCCCCAATTCTGAATGTTAATTAGATTTTAAAATCACAACATTCTAGAGTTGAAAAAAGTTTTCAGAATTGTTTAGTTTCCCATCCAAACAGAGCTGTTTCCTTATTAAGGGCTGGAAGCATGTGGGAATATAGAAACTCCCCTCTCATGAGGCAGGCCAAAGAGATGGTCCAGGTGTCAGGAAGTTCTTCACCTCATAGTCAGTTCATTCCAGACTCCCACCTGAAGGGGTGTGATCATTTTACTTTCTGTGGATGTTATAATAGTATAGGTTAGGGAAATCAAGTCACATGGTGGCCACAAACAAAGATTTGGTTTATTTAAACCTCCTTTAGAAATGAGTGTCTATGATGAAACCCTTTAAGTAGACAAGAATATCAAATGAAATGTCAGGTTCTTACTTCCATTGCCAGCCCTACTTTTCAGAAGTTGTCATTGTTAGAAGTTCCTTTTTATCTTTTCAGAAATTTTCTGTGTTCATAAGCATATATAAC